GGTAAGCCACTGCCACGTGGCAATATACAGATTAATAGAAATGGATTAAATCAAGATGTGAGAGTTAGCCAATAAGAGGCTAGTGCTAATGGGGCAAGCAGTGATTTAATTAATACAATTTCTGTGTGATTATTTCAGAACTAAGTTACCTGGGTGGCCAGGATAAACAAGGGGCTCCTTGCAACAATGTAACCCACAAGATTTGTCATGTCTCATCCAGTCTCAGAGATGTTCCCATAGTAGAGGGATCATCATTTATATAACTTGCCCAGTAATCTTTCTTGGTTTCTTTTTTCTTGTCTGTAGTCAAGATTTTCAGGATGTCTCCCCCAATCAAATCTAATGTTCATTAATTTTGAAAAGGACAACAACTTTTTGTTTCCTGTGGAAACAAAGGGGTAACATCTTCCCAAATGTAACATATTTTTGACTTCCATTCTGAAGTTAAGACATTTTAAATATATATATTTATTTAATATAGCAGCTTTCATGAGTCAATGCTTCTTAGAAGCTATTGTTTTTATACATTAGCATTTGAAAAATTCAAAGTCAATAAAGCACCATATAGGATCCAGACTCCCTGCGTATTTTCCATCCTTATGTGGCTTATTCTTTTTGTATTCCTTTCCTCTTTCTCCAAAGACTTGACTTTATTATTTTTTTTCAGCCTCTAAGCACATTTTTAAACACACTGTAGCCTATTCAGATGTTTTGCTAGCCTTGACCTGGATTCTTTTTTTTTTTTTCACATCTGCAGCACCCTTTGACCATTTGAGCCAAATCTTAAACTGCTAGGCTACCACGATATGACTCCGCTTAGCACCTGCCATGCTGGCAGCTGGCTCTGCCCCATTCCCTCAGTTCCACAAGGACCTAGCCTCTTGCTGGAAGGTACTGAACATGGAGCCCCGTTTATTCACCCCAGCTTTGGGAATGTGTTGTGTCTGCCCGAAACAGTTTGTTCCCAGTGTCTGCTGCTAAAGTGCTCAGCTGTGCAGCAAGGACTCTGAAAAGAGTCATGCCATTGTGCACTGAGCCTCCTGGAGAGACCACTCTCTTAGGCCCTATGTAGATATTTGAGCCTCACACTAGGTGCCGTAGGTAGTCAGATTTATCTTTGGGCTACCAGCTCTCAAATAACAGCATGGAGACTTAATATTAATTATGAAACCTCAGTCTTAGGCTGGGCCTGTCCCACTAACTCTAAGTTAACCCATTTATTTTAATATACGTCTGGCACATGGCTTGTTACCTCATCTCTCCAAACTGCCCATGCTGCTTCCTCTGCATCTGGCTGGTGATTCTGCCTTCTCCTTCTCAGAGATCTCTGTCTGCCCAGAAGTCCAACCTATATCTCCTGCCTAGCTATTGTCCATTCAGCTTTTTTTTTATTACATCAATAACAGCAATATATTTTCACATGGTGTACAAATACAACAGATCAATAGGTTAACATAGTAAAAATGATCATCTTACCAAACGCAATCTACAGATTCAAAACAATTCCATTAAAATTCCAACACAATTCTTTATAAACTTTGAAAGGATAATACTCAATTTCATATGGAAAAACAAACAAATAAACAAACAAACAAAAATCAAGTATAGCTAAAACAATCCTGAACAATAAAAGAACTTCTGGAGGTACCACTATCCCTGATTTCAAGTTCTACTACAGAGGTATAGCAATAAAAATAACAAGATATTGGAATAAAAACAGACAGGTGGAACAATGGAATTAAGACCCAGACATAATCCACACACCTATGAACACTTGAGTTTTGACAAAGAAGTCAAAATTATATAATGGGAAAAAGAAAGAATTTTCAACAAATGGTATGGGCAAAATTGGATGTCAGCCTGTAGAAGAATGCAAATAAATCCATATCTATTACCCTGCAAAAAACTCAAGTTCAAGTGGTTCAAAGGCCTCAGCATGAATCCAGGGATTCAAGGGAAAGAGCCTTGAATGCATTGGCATAGGAAACAACACAGACCTCCACTAGCACAGATATTGAAATTAACAATTAATAAATGGGAGCTCATGAAATTGAAAATCTTCTATAAAGCAAAGAAGGACACTGTCAATAAGACAAAATGGTAGCAGAGAGAATGGAAAATAATTTTCATCAACCTCACATCAGACAGAGGAATAATCTCTAAAATATATAAAGAACTCAAGAAACTAGATGTCAACAAACCAAATAATCCAATTAAAATGTGCCTTTTGATATTTGCATATGCTAATGAATTTTTTGTTTCCTCAATGACAGACTATTGGATTAGGACATGTGATGTTTTGAAGTCTTAAGAACCTCTTTGGTGTTGGTGAAGCCTTTCTGGGTCTTAGTATGGATCAGCAGTCATCTGATCTATATCCCCTCATTGACCACATCTTCCTTGTGCTTTAGTCTGTTCTAGCTTCAGCAACATCTTACCCTAGCGTTACTCGAAATTCTTGAAGGTAGGAGTGGGGAATGATAGGCATCCAACTTGTGTCTTACTGGAGTACCAGGAAGAGTGACAGATTAGGAGATGCTGAGTTTGGACTTGTTACCTCAAGCTTGCCTTCACTTTTGTCTGATGAGTATGTTGTTCCCACATGCGGGTCCCTGGCACCTCTCTGGGACATCATGAATTATATCTAGTTTGATGTCAGGATGAAGCAGCGACTCATGGCAAGTTCTATTTAATTTTTCTTGGAATAAATTTAGAGAAAAATACAGAAAGTGGATTATTTGAGAATTTATCAGTCTCATGTGAAGATTATTATAAAAATGAAATGAAAGAATCACTAAAAGGTAAACTCCTCTCCTTTGGCTTTCTTTGAAAATGAAACACTCCCTAATAAAGTGGGAGTTTGTTGAAAGCCTTCACTATGTGGCACTAAGTAGGTCATCAGAAAAGGTATCTGCCTGAGTTGGGGTTTCTCTTGCTGTAAAGAGACACCCTGGTGCTGGCAACTTTTATAAAGAAAAATGTTTAACTGGGACTGGTTTACAGTTTCAGAGGTTTAGTCCATTATCTTCATGGTGGGACACAGCAGCATGCAGGCAGACATGGTGCTAGATAGAGAAGGAGCTGAGAGTTCTACACCTTAATCCTCAGGCAACAGGAAGTGAGCTGTTTCACCGAGCATAGTTTGAGCGTAGGAGACCTCAAAGCCCGCTCCACAGTGACATGCTTCCTCAAACAAAGCTACACGCATTCTAACAAAGCCACACTTCCTAAGAGTGCCCCTCCTTATGGAGCCATTTTCTTTCAAACCACCACAGTATCTGTGTATAGATATATCAAATGCTAGAGCTCCCACCAACATTCACAATAATCCTGCATAAGAAAAGGACAAAGTTCAGAGAAATCATTCATTGCTTAATCTAACTGTAGAATCGTTCACCGCAGAGCAGTAACCTATCAGGGATAATGTTTTAAAAGGAATTGAACTCACTCAGTTATTCATATGCTCACATACTACACTGTCTCTATCCTTGAGGATAAGAGATTGTTTAGTCACTTGGGAACAATCCCAGGTCCAAAGGATCAGTCGGATGCTTCTGGAAACTTAGAGTGATTATTATTTTTTTTTTTTTTGCAAAAGATTATTCTGAACTAAAGGCACAAGCTGTGTCTAAAGCCCCGAGTAACAGTCTAAACGGTGATAGCCAGAGACATAATTGACCTCCACGAACTCTTGCAGCCTGCTGGGGCCTGCTCTGGTCCACTAGGGCCTACCGGGGCCTGCTGGTGTCTGCTGGTGTTTGCTGGGGTCTGCTGGGGTCTGCTGGGGTCTACTCGGGTCCGTTGGGGTCTACTGGCACCTGCTGGGGTCTGCTGGGGCTTACTTGGTTTGGCTGGGGTCCACCAGGGTCTGCCAAGTCTTGATGGGGCCTACAGGGGCCTACCGGGGCCTGCCGGGGCCAGCTGAGTTTGACTTACCCACTTAGATGCTCAGAGGCCTTTCAGTAATTGGGTGAAAGGATCATCTTTGCAGTGTTCTTCCTTGTATCCATGCATTCGGCTCTATTTCAGTTTATTAGAATTATCTTTCTCCACAGAACATGCTCCCCAGCAGGCTAGGGACTATGGCCTTCTAGGGGTTTTATTCCAAACCCCAGAATACCGAGAGCAAGTTTTCCTTGCTATTTATTTAATCAGATGGAAGGGGCTTCCATGTCACAGTATCTTACTCGTTGCTAGCAAGACACGAGTCTTTGTGGCCTCCATCCAAAAGAAGTAAAGGAAGCTAGGGGTGTAGGTGGGGGATAAGCAGGACTGACATAGTCCTTGTTTTCGACGATTGGTCCATTCTCCAGTGTGGGCCAAGGGTCCTTGGGAGCTATTTTGAATGGGCTGATTTTTCATATTTAGGAACAAGAAACCTATAGCACATGTTAGTCATTTGAGAGAGAACACTGATAAACAAATTAGAAAAAGAGGAGGAGCAATAAGAGAAGGAGAGGTGGAAGAATTAGGGGGACAGTGACGGCAGTGCTGGTGATGACCACTTTAGTGACAGCCGGTCAGTAGAGGTGATTAAGTATGTCCCGAGCAGGTGCAGAGATCAAAGCAAAGCAGCTACTTCACTGCCATCCCCCCCCCTCTCTCTCCCTCCCTCCCTTCCAAATCTGTAACATTTTATATGGCAAAGTTTGCAGAATGTCACAGAAATTCTTGAAGGAAAGAATCATCCAAGGCAAGGAGTGGGGGATAGAAAGTTTCTTGACTGTTTGGTTTCACGTAGGTAGGCACTAAATCATTTTGAAATCATCATTGAGCTTTCTATTCCTTTAAAGAATCATTCTAATAGAGTGCCTTACCAGACTAAGAAGCTGTTCTAGTTCTTGATTTTGTTAAAGAGCATCTCTTGGTGTTTGCCCAGAAGAACTTCACCACTAATACACATTTAAAATTTATAAGGGTTAGCATGTACTTCACATAGTTATTATAGTTTGTTCCTGGCACTAGAAAATGTATGGAGTATTTTTTTAAAATAAAAAATTCGATTTCCGTTAGCAGCGGCGGGAATATCGCTGCTGGCTGCCGACTGCCGACTAGGCCTCTGTGGAAACGAATCCGGCGGGAATCTGAGCCATCGGAGCCGCCACCATGACTGTGGGTAAAAGCAGCAAGATGCTGCAGCACATTGACTACAGGATGAGGTGCATCCTGCAAGATGGCCGGATCTTCATCGGGACCTTCAAGGCTTTTGACAAGCATATGAACTTGATCCTCTGTGACTGTGATGAATTCAGGAAGATCAAGCCAAAGAATGCCAAACAGGCAGAAAGGGAAGAGAAGCGAGTTCTCGGTCTGGTGTTGCTTCGAGGAGAGAACCTGGTCTCCATGACAGTAGAAGGACCTCCTCCCAAAGATACTGGTATTGCCAGAGTGCCACTTGCTGGAGCTGCTGGGGGGCCAGGTATCGGCAGAGCTGCTGGTAGAGGAATCCCGGCTGGTGTTCCCATGCCCCAGGCCCCGGCAGGACTTGCTGGGCCAGTCCGTGGGGTAGGAGGACCATCGCAGCAGGTGATGACTCCACAAGGAAGAGGCACTGTTGCGGCAGCTGCAGCTGCAGCCACAGCCAGTATTGCAGGAGCTCCAACTCAGTACCCACCTGGTCGTGGGGGTCCTCCTCCACCTATGGGCCGAGGGGCGCCTCCTCCAGGTATGATGGGCCCTCCTCCTGGCATGAGGCCTCCTATGGGTCCCCCAATGGGGATCCCTCCTGGCCGAGGAACTCCAATGGGCATGCCTCCTCCTGGGATGCGACCTCCTCCTCCAGGAATGCGAGGTCTGCTTTGATCCTCGCACAGCATTATGGCAGTAGTTTCACCGAGGTGTGGGTCCTAGTCCCCGGAGCCGAGCCGAGTTACCACACGCCTCTTTGTTTGTATGCTGTTCATGGAGTCTCCCGGATCGTCTGGTTTCCCTTTCAGGGCCCTCCTCCCTGGGGAATTTGCCCTCCAAGGCTCTAGGCTCATCTTGGTTCTCCTTATCTCCTTGCCTGTTTCCCAAAAGGCTGTACATAGTCCTGTTTTTTTCCCACTGTGACCCTTGAAGCTGGTTTATAATAAACTCTTAAGAGACTGTTATACAAAAAAAAAAATAATAAAAAAAAAATAAAATAAAATAAAAAATTCCTGCCAGACAGTGGTGATGCATACCTCTGATCCCAGCACTTGGGAGGCAGAGGCAGAGGCAGGTTGAGCTCTGTGATCTCTGTGAGTTCAAGGCCAGCCTGGTCTACAAGAGCTAGTTCCAGGACAGGCTCCAAAGCTACAGAGAACCCTGTCTCAAAAAAAGAAAGCAAAACAAAAAGAAAGAAAGAAAGAAAAAGGAAAAAACCCGATTTCAACTGATTTAAGAGTTAGCTGATAGTTCTCAACAGAATAAACATCTCAATTGCTTTTATGATGAGATTCACAACTGATATTCTCATCAACTACTAGGCATGAGGCTAGGTAGTCAAAAGGTTCTAACCCTGCTTTGAGGAAACTGGTGGAAGGGATGAATGTTTTACGATGTGGCCTGCACTATGCAGCTGTGAAAATTCAGAAACACGAGAAGCCACGGTAGGCAATAGAAAGCCGTGAATGTCATCGCACACGCCCAGGAAAGCCTGTTTGGGTGGTCTAATACCATGCAAATTTGTTTATTTATTTAGTAAACAGCTATGAAGCCGTGACTTGTTTTACAGTGTATGTGGATGGTGTTGGTAGCTCAGGAGACAGGAAAGTTTTCGAGTAGGAGACTGTATGGGTGGCCAGCGAAACATCATCTACAAGTTGTAGTTTGTTGGGGCTTTGTCGAATCCTGACTCATCTTTCCATGTTAGAGTTACAGAAACTGGGTCAGCATGACAGAAACAACTGGAGTCCTGGACCAGGGACCTGGAAGCAGTAAGTCCTGGCCAGGTATCCAGACTCCTGCCTGCTTTTATGTCTTCATCCAGGGATTGGGGTACTCAGGTGCTCCAGGACAGATGTCCTGGTATCATCCATTTTAGATGCCTGGAAAGGATTGCTCCCGAGAATGCCTCAAAGTACTGTTGAGGGTGTAGAGCTAAAACAGAAGGACAATTAAAAAGCAACCAGGAGAAAGAAAGAAAGGAGCAAATGCTCATTGTGGGCAGACTCTCATCTAAACTCGATGTATTCTATTTTTTAATCAGCACGTCAATCTTACCAATAAAGTAGGCATTGTCTCATTTTACACATGGATAAACTGAGTCTCAGAGTGGCTATGGATCTTGCCCAACCTTTACACATCTAGCAAATTGTGGAATGAAGACTCCAACTTTGATCTATTAGGTTTTGGATCTTACAATTGTATTGACTCCATAGATAAGAGCACTCAGGGTACCTTACACATTGACTACGAACCTTCTCTCTGGTGATGACACCCTGCCCTGCCTGGCTTCTTCTTGTCTTTGGATTTTTTATTTTTTTGTAGTGGTAGCTAGTAACCACGATTTTTTGCTTGCAGCATCATGTAGTGTTCACCTCTCTCTTACCTTCTGAATATTAGTTCCACTTTGTAGGACAAGGCGTTTCAATGACCTAAACTCAAGCCACCTTTCTTATAAAGCACAGACGTGGGTCTTGATCTAGAGGCTTTCAGTTGAGTCTGTTGTACTGGGCTAAGGATGTGGCTCTGGGGTAGAGTACTTGCACAGTGTGCGCAAGGCTCTGGGTTCAGTCTCTGGGGAGGAAATAATACCCAAGCCTGTGTTACTTTTCTAATATTTAAGTTGCCGAGCCCCAGAAAGGAAGGTAATTGCAGGTAATTGGAGGCCAACTTTAGCAGGTCTACCGTTTCCAGTTTGGGATGGGGTCCAGAACCTGAGTATCTTATCTGCTTTGTTTTTCTGTCTGCACCCGAAATCCTTCCCCTATATTTTGTTGTGGAGCCAGGTTTTAGGGTCTAGTCTGACCAGCTATCCAAGAACAAGGTGCCAGGCTCCAGATGTCCCGCTATCAACTCCACGCTGCAGAGATGTCCGGGCCCTGCAATCTGTCTGCATAATCTCCTTTCTCTGTAGAGAAAGACATTGGGAAAGGAGGACTTTCTGAGATGGGGGACAGGACAGGCACCTCCGCTATCGTATGAGAACCATCTGTTTAAGGAGTTAGCACTACTAATTGGTCTCTCACCTTCAATATAAAAAAAATGTACCTCTCACTTGAGGTCATTTGTATAGTTCTCACATCAAAATCTTCATTAGACAAAACACCAAGTTGGGGCATAGACCATACTTTATTTTTTCCCTTCCTTTCTTCTTTTTTCTCTCTTCCTTCTTTCTCTTTTCTTTTTTTTTTTATATCATGGAAATTGAAATGGCTGCCAGGAAGACACAGAGAAAGCTTGTGTGACAGATGGAAGAATTTCTGAGGCCAGGGAAGTCTGTAATTTATATTTCTTAGGGCCAGTACAAAGCGCTCTCCAAAGAGCCTGGGCTGCCATGCTTCGGGAGGCTGGCCGCTGAGCTGCTAAATGTGGAGTGTCTGATAGCTTTGGGATTTGGGGATGTAATGATCAGACAAAATCCTTGTCCTCACAAAACTTACAATTTGCTAGGTTTTCACCTCTCTCATAGGTGGGTTCTGAAGCGAAGACTGACCTCCTAATGAGGCAGAGTACGGACTACTCAGGGCAATTTAAGAGCGGGTTTTAAAGATGTGTCCATTTCCCTTTCCCTAACAAACATAAGACAAGTATACTCTTTGCTGGGATGGATTGCTGGCAACTTCTGAATGTGGAATTTAGAAACATGCTCTTACTAGCATGGGAACATTTTCAGAGAGCACCTCAACATGTGGTTGCTTTTTTTCTCAACACAGACATCGGAGGACAAAGCTCTGGGCAGTGGAGACCATGCTGGTGGATGAACAACCTAGAAAGGTGAGACTAGATGGTCTAATAGACCTGAGCTGAATGGCCAATAGCAAGGCCCAAGCACAAATAGAAGGGCCTGGTTGGCAGTGGGGATAAATAAAAGGAGAAATGAGGAAGGAGGAGGAACAAGAGAATGAGAAGAGGACATCAGGGGCCTGTCACCCAGCTACACAGCAAGCCATGGAGAAAGAAGTAAAGAAGGGTTTACAGAAATAGAGAAAGATTAAAGTCCAGTGCCAAAGGGTCGTCGGGATCAAGTAAGAAAAGCTGGCAAGAAGTAAGTCAAGCTTAGACTGGCATTCGTAACTAAGACTAAGCCTCTGTGCGTGATTGATTTGGGAGCTGGGTGGAGAGCGCCTCAAAAAGCCAAAAGAATAAAACATCACACAACAACTTGCTTTTTCAGTTTTAAATTGTTGAACCAATGAGAAGACAAATGGCTAAGATGCTGAGTCAAACCCAACCCACTCCAGGCTCCTTGTATTTCTCCAAATGACTTAATGACAACAATGTAATGAATTCCTAGCCTCTGACCCCTCTACACTCTGTCACCGCTACATGGAACATGTAGCCTCCCGGCAACATCCATATTTAGAATAACCCTCCTGGAGTCCATGACGTACTTCTTTCCTCGTGGCCTGCATAGTCTACTCTTTTGACTCTGACTGCTCTTACCATTTTCTTGGACTGTTTACTGTTCTGCACTGTTCAGCCTCAAGTTCTCAGGCCTTTGCTTTCTGAGCTGTGCACACTTTATGGCGAGAGTTGTGGCCTTCCACAACATTTGATGAGTTGGTTGCATTTGTAATACTTCTGAGTTGAATTGAATCTTTCATTTATCTATTCCATTCCAATGCGAAGTTGCTAGCCTTAAGTTGGGATGGCCAGTGCCGAGGGATAGAAGAGAAACATTGAAGTTGATCAAGTCTTCCGCAGAACACTGATGCTCCAAATCCTACATCCCCTGTGAAGTTTGGAAGGAACACAGGCTCTGTGTACGCAATTGTTCATCCCTGGGAGCCAGAGGCCAAAAAGAGGGCTGAAGGGTGAGTAGAGGAAAAGAAGAGCAAATTACAGATGAGGGAACCGGGAACTGTATTTGAGGCTACAACTTTGAGGACAGTTCATCATTATTCTTCTCCCGGGCCAGAGTTCTGTAGTAAGGTGCAGTTTTACAGTAAAAAGACACCAGACCAGCAAAGCTTATGATATGTGAACTCATGGAAATAACTGGGATAGGAAAGAAGGGAACATTCTAGAACTGGAAATGTAGCTGTTGGACATGAAAAAAATTTGAATAAGAACTCTTAGACCCAGAGCCTAGAAACTGTGGTGGTGTGCATTGGGAATTAAAAGCATGCAGTATCAACCAGAACGGATCTTGCAGAACATCCAGCTCGTGGGAACCTGCTTCCAAGGGAGAAGACTCCCCGAAGGTAAGGGCATATCCCAAGGTGGGGTGCTGGGGAAATGGGCTTGAGAGAGTTTGTTTGTTTGTTCAGCAGATAATTTGCCTCCCTAGTCTTTGGGTGTTGAGGTTACATGCCACCCACCTCAGCGGGGCAACTTACATCTTGGACAAAGACGAGGTCAGGCTCTGGAGAGGAAAAGGCAAGTAGAGACCAAATCTTTACCCAAGCACGGTATGAATAATCTCAGCCTCTTTTGTTCTTAACAGCGTGTCAACTGCATCTTTGTTTGGTGTTCCTTGGCTGGCTGTCTTCACCACCATTAAGTTTACGTATGACTGACGTGAGATCTGTTACTGATGCAGGAAAATGATTTGACGTTGGAAAACATCCAGAAGGCACAGGCGGGTAATGCCTTCACCTTCCCAGGACTGAGTCTTGCCCATGACCTCAGGCACAGCGGTCTGTTTTTCCGTCTGTGAAGTTGGATAATGACTCTGCTTTCACTGACGTACCATGGGAATAAA